TTTTTTTTTGGTCCAATGACCAAAGTTGGGCAATTGAATACCATTCAGTTCCCATTCCAGAATCCAGATCGCCTGAAAAATCTCCTTCTGCGTCACATCTCTATAATATTAAGATTTATTAACAATACAATAAGTCTTTATTTCTCTAATTAACTTGTGCCTTTGCCATTCATACATTTCTATATTAAGCTGGTGGAGAAATTGCAAATGTTATATTTCTCATTAAAATAACATAATCATATTTAAATAAACCCATTAAACAAATGTGGAATAATTGCAATGGTTAGCTAATTACAACTATTTATTAAATATTTATACCAAGAGGTGTTTTAAGCATGTACTCACGTCTACTTGCTTGCGCATAAAATTTATTCCAAAGTCAAATACCAGAAAAAACACGATCAGAAACACACTCTTGGATAACCAGCTAGTGGAAACCACGACAGGGCACTGACAAAAAGGTAATTTGGGTTTAAATAATCATCTTTAGGCTGTAATTGGCTGTCTCTGACCTCTGACCCCTGACCCTAAATCGTGCATGTGCATCTATGACGTGACGTCGTACGCATGTTGGCACCATCTTTGATGTGGCCGAAGTTCCTAAGAACGTCGCACCCGCTAAGGACCAGAATGGAGGGAGATCGGACAACTGCCTGCCGCGACCAAGGTAAGTTTAAAATATCTCTGTCAGCGTGGCTGCACATAAACTAAGCAGAAGAGCTTGGAGCCGTGACAAACACATTGAAAAAAGCCTGTTTGTGGGCAAAAAGCGTTAGTGTGTTATTAGTGTTTTATATTGGTTTTATTATTATGTTGTCTAATAAAACTAGTTTGTCACTTCCTGTTTGTATACTTTAGGATTTTTTTTTTTTGGAGGACTCTGCTCTTCAAATTCTTTGGTGGGGAAAATACCACCTATGCTGTTTAGGATTGAGCAATATCTAATTTGCTCTTCCTTTGTGAGTATACCTCCTTTATTATTTTTAGCATCACAGAGAGCACTATCTCATGTTTTTAGCTCTTCATTTGCACTGAAGCACTATCACTGGCACAATATGACACACTTAATGTGAACACCCCTATTACTGCTGACCACCAAACTCTGACTACTGGTCTAAGGACATCTTACAACACAGGACCATAAGCATGTCCGTAGACGTGGATTATACAATCCAGGTGCATATATCTGGAGCTGATTATAAGTATAGAAAATTCTGTTCAGCTCCATCTTGGGGTGGCTGAAATAAAGGATTCTCTAACAATAACTAAAAAGCCAGAATGCGGTTGTCACTTAAGAGCACTTATCGATTAAGTGAACTTTCATTCATTACCTGGTTCAGTAATACTTTACCTTCTCATGCTTGCTTAGTTGGCTTTAGCAATAAACCTGATACAGCATCTTCCAGGATTGCTTATTTCAAGTTACAATGATCAATCAATTCCTTGCATCAATGTTATTTATTCATCTTCGACCTCTCCCAACTCCTTAAGGAGCCATGTTCCAAGCCTTCCAAATGCTTCCTTGCTTGGTTTGCTTTTTAAGAGAACAGGTGGATTCTCTAGCTTTGGATTTGTAATTACAAAACTCAAAGGAGCAGTAATCCTCTTTAATTATGGTTGAATAATATTCTATGATCCCTTCTTAACTTTGTTTTACTGTATTAAACATTGCTTTAATACAAATCTGTTTTGTTCATTCTTTTCCGTGCTCAATATTTCATTGTCTTCTAATTAATGGAGGTATTTTTTTTATTTTTTTATTAGATATTTCTGCAGCTTGGGAATAGCTGTTATTCACCAAATTCACTGACAATCAGAAGTTTTTTTTCCTAAACACATTAGTGGTAAATTTGCAGTAAACGGAATTCCTATTTTTAAATAGTATATACAACAATTAACCACGTTTTTCAGGGTAAATCTTATTTAATGAGGATTTATATTTTGAAAGTATACCTAATCTAGGGGCTTGATATGCATAAACTTAAAAATAACTGGGTAATCATATAATTAGGCAATAGGAATATGGAGGATCAGCACGATTAACACCACCATCTCTTGATCACTTGGATTTTTATGTGACATACATTTACGTATCAAACAATGGGGAACTTAAAGAAGCAATCTAAGCACCATAACTACTACAGTGCTTTCTACTGGTGCCCTGGTGCCCCCCCCCCCCAATGTAAGTAGTCAACCCAATATCAAGCATTTTGACTTCTTACCTGAGGTCCACCAAGCCTCTTTCTGACGCTTCCAGGAAAACTGGAAGCTTTCCTCCTGAGTTAAGCCCATCATCGCATTCCTTAGCTCATTGGCTGAGAGAAATACAGCTGACTCTATCAAGGATCTTGACCTGCAGAGCTTAGATCAAGGGAGCTAACAAAAGCAGAAGCTCTTGGCTCTCTTGGAGGATGCAGTGAGGTAGGAAGCAGAGCCTAGGAGACCCCAGTTAAAAAGTCAAACCATTCTAAAATGTTTTTTTTTTTTTAAAAGTAATTGAGGTGCACATCCAGAACATGCATTTCTTAGTGGTGCTTTTGCACCAGTCTAAAATGTTTGACCCTGAGAAGGCAGCATGACCTGGTACCATAACCACTACAGTGTGCTGCAGTAAGTTGTAGTGTTCCTTTAAACACTACTTACACATTTTTGTAAACATTCAAAATGGACAGTTAAATTTGCTATTTTCCATAAAAACTGAGTTTTACAAATTATATATATATATATATGCTAAAGCTTGGTTTTAGACAGGAAGGCGAGGGACCTTGAGAGATTCAAACAGCTCACATTAACCCCGCCTGATCCCGTCACACTCACTCTCTCCAATCAAACCGCACTCACCTCCCTTAGCTCTGCCATATTCACCCTATTACATTAACCCTCCTAATCTTGTTACAATCTTGTTACACTGTGAGTTTAACAGGATTAGGGGGGTAATGTGATAGCTAAGCATTCCTCTTCCTGTCACATGTCCTCCTTCAACAGTGCCACACTTACCCCAAACCCTGCCACACTCACCCAATCACATTATCACTTCTAATCTTGTCACACTCATCCCCCTCACTCTGCTACGCTCACCATGTCACTTAACCTCCTTTATCCTGTCACATTCACCTCCCGTTGCCCTATCACATTCACTCCTCCAATAATGCCACATTCACTCCAACCCTGTAACACTCACCTCACCAACCATGCCACATTCACCATGTCACATCAACAATTTAATCCTGGCACACGTACCTCCCCTCATCCTGTAACACTCCCTCCTCCAACCCTGTTACCTTGCCCTCCCTCATTCTGTCACACTCCCTCCCAACCCTGTCTAATTTAACCCTTTACCCCTGTAGCGGAAGGCATGTAACTGTCCACCAGAATTATATTTTAAAAGTCTGTTCGCATGTTTAAACTGCCTGTACATTGAAAATTGCATATACATTCGTATGTTAGTTCGGTAGTATCCTTCATAGTTTATACGATTGGAAACTACCGAATGCATATACCACCTTAGAGAAGAAGTGTGTCCCTAGTTAAACCCTTATTCCCTCTCTAACCACAGTTAATTGATGTTGTATTGCTGTATCTGGGTGGCCGCCATTCGGTAGACGAACACACGGCGGCGGCCATCTTACGCACGAACTCTCAGCGGTGTTTGGTCGTCAAGTGTCTGGAACTCAAATCGGACACTTGATTGCGCGAACACAGCTGAGACCTCCAGAGCTCCAGAACTCACGAACGGAGGGGCTATTCGACGCCTCGTTCGGTGAGTTCAATATACCAAACAAGGGGGTTCGTGCGAACTCGGTATTATCTATGGATGGCAAGGATTTCTACCTGTTTTACCTCCCGAACGCAGACCGACCGCAGGGCCGAAATACATGGAACTCCTTTCGGCTACATAGTCGTGTGCGGTCGGTCAAATCGTTTATTCCCTATAACTCCCGAACCCCTGGTCTGATCTGGGTGAATTTTGAGTATGTTGGTCACCCAGACCAGGGCTACCAGGGGATGCCACTTAAGTCCTGGTACCCCACAGTTTTGGGGTACATCTAAGAAACAGGGGAAAAGGTACCAGGATTAAGTGGATTAAGTGTCACACTGAGGGGAGGGAAAGTAGAGGAGGGAACCTCTGTATTATTGGTTACTGCTATAATTACTGTAAATCCCTCCCTTGCATGGGAGAATCCTTTATAAGGATTTGCTGTGAATAAATCTTGAGTTCTGCTCCTGATGCTGTGTGTCGTCCAGTCATTGGGATTGCGATTGGGATATTGTTGGAGTCTTTTTTGCCTGCTGGGATTATTACTCTTTGAATTCATTATACTTGTTCCTGGGCCTTACTGGGATCCAAAGTGTAGATAGACTGTGTAATACCAGCTCTCTGATACATACCCTGTCAAAGTCACTCCTGAAGCCAATCATCATACACACAAAGTCATAAAACATAACTTTGCCATAAACAAAATGCACAGAGGCCACAGACAGCCCCCTGCATATACAAAAAGCACCGTAAGCAGCTACCCCAGACATAAACGTACACATGCTCACAGAAACATACATTAACATACAAGGATACTCACTGTTAGTTACACACTCTCAGGCACATGTCTGTTGTGACAAACTCCCCTTTTCAAATGAGTTTGCCACGAGTTCTTGGAGGGGCCTGTTTTCCAGCCTCCTACCCTGTGACTATGGCCCCTGTGATCAACCTTGGTTAAAACCACTGCTTGTGCCCTTTTGGACTTACAACAGGAACACTTAGAACTTTCAAAGCGGCACTTCAAACTCCCCACCTCCCGAACCATCCGAAGTGCCATTCGACCACCTGGCGGCAGCCATCTTAAGCCGCAAGTACAATGAGCTGTGTTTGGTTGTCGAGTTCATGGAACTCAAATCGGACACGTGACGGCGCAAACACCGCTAAACTCTTACCTTCCATGGAGGGTCGGCTATCGAACGGGAGTCAAACAGCATTCGGTAAGAATAAACTCACAAACAAGAGACATACACTGACTTTATCCACGAACAGCTACGCTAGGTATTTCAAACTGCACTTTGCATCCCCAAAGTAGATCAGCTGCACAGCCTGATTCTCTAGAACTGTTTTGGGCATGAAACCATGCGTGCGGTTGGTCAGAATAAGACTTCCAGGAAATTCCTGAACCCCTGAACTGATCTGGGTGATTTGTGGATATGGTGGTCACCCAAATCAGGGCTATCAGTTGATGTACTAATTGTGGGGATATCAAGTGTTTTGGGAGTACTTTGGGAGGTTTTGTAAAATGTGTTTTTTCTGCCTGGAGATAATTGGGTTAATAAAGTATCTGACTCAATTATCTTCCAGGCAGTGAGGAGGGATTGTATGTTAATTATGGGAGTGTCGTTCATTTAATCACTGTTCTTATTGGTCTGTGTCACTGTGTTGGAGTCCCCAACAAGGTCTATGTGGGCATACCCCTTGCATGGAGATTGTCATAAAAAGCCAGTGTGGCACCATTTAAATCTATCCCAGCTTGTACTCCTAAACTGTGAGTCGTCCTGTTATTGGAGGGAAAATAGATTTACTCACGTGTCTGCTGTTCCAGCTTGCAGGGGATTCAACGGGGAGAGTCCTTGTAAAGACTAGAGCTCCCAGGACTGAGTGTCGTGCAGTTCATGGGGGTGTCTAGAGCGAATTCCCCATTCGGCTCCACGAAGAAGTGGTTCCAGGGCCCCAGTCAAGCCACAGCGACTGTGGGCAGAAGTGATGCAGTTTGTTCCTTGTTCCAGCTAGGAAGTGGTCCTTTGGCGGAGGAACCCAGTCGGGGTACTGGGAGCTCCGTTACATCTGTATTGGTCAATATTTGTGTCTCTTTGTATCAGTGTGTTCGTGTGTGAGTATGCATGTGCATGTATTAGTGTGTATATGTATTTGTGTATTAGTGTGTATATGTGTACATGTATTAGTGTGTGTTTATGTCTGTAATGTGAGAGTGGTATGGTATGGGCAATACAAAGGTAAAGTTGCAAGCAACATGTATATTATATACATACATATGCAATACATGGGAAACATATATATGATAACATACATATAAAGGATTATACAATAAGTGGGGAAAATTGTTTTCTTATCTGTAACTTTATTATTTGGTACCTGTTTTTTAAAATGCACAACCAAAATTTTCATTTTTGTTTCCAATAACTCCCTAACACCAGCACTTATGTATGCACGACCGTCAGGCTATACAACCATACCCCGCATTCGTGTATAAACGATTAGCGTAATTGCAAATGAAATTTGTTTATTGCAAATTATCTCATAACTACAGTCAGAGAGCTCACAACGCAGAGGCTTAGGGAGCCGCGACAATGCGAGCCTCTGAAGATGAATACAGAGACTAGCTGCAAGCCCGCCATTCAATATATCTACAGCTCCTTATATACACACAAGGCAACCCAAATTTATTTTTTACTAATAGTGTTAGTGGGGGCCTTATGTTTGAGGTTCGCCAAAGGCCTCGTAAAGTCATCTCCAATTTTGGTGAAACTAGTTGAAAACAGTTAGACCAATAACTGTAGAATGGTTCTCACGTGCTATAGGCATCATAACTATTACATTGGCATGTAGTTGTTATGGTGCTTATGCTGCCTCTTTATACTTCTTAAAGTCCTCTGCTGCACATGCAACATTAGCTGATTTAAATACAGCATGTGTGGATTATGTTTTTTTTTTCACATATTGTGTTCAACTTTTTCATTCAGTAATTAATTTTTTTTCTTATGAAGAATAAAGAAAAATAAGCACTACTCTGAATATGTTTATTTTAAATATAGTTCTATGGGAATATGTAAATGACCTGTACTTTAAATGGTAATTGTTTGTTTCTACATCAGTATCTTTATTATGAGGGATACGTAGAAAAGGAACCAATATCCAAATTAATTTGCTAGAGTCTGATACTTTAGTGTGGTGGCAAAGTTACACCAAAAATTCTATTTAAATTATTGAGTGGCAAATAATAAAGGGATCTGAGTAGAGCAAAGTTACTGTATATTAAACCATTTTGTCCGTTTCTCCTTTTTTATCCTTCATTGGTCACTTCTTACTTGCTCTGAGAATAAAATCAACATTTAATGGCTCTCCACTAGCCTTAAATCATCATATTTTCCCACCACACATCTCTTTTTTGGGCGATACAGGTAGAGCTCCGAATCATAAAACTGTTAATCCATCGCCCGTCTCACTTGTTTTCATGATTTAGTCCTTATAGCATTTGAAGGTTATAGAATTTGGAAGAACCTACAATCGCTCAAAATTTGTATCAATCTCAATACGATTGAAACTGAATGCACAAGTTTAGCAACCATACTTCATCTTCACTTTTTGTATGTAAGACCACGGAGGACTTCTTCACCACTTCTTGTATCAATAAACCTAAATGTATTTGTTTTTTATTTACCTATTTTAAAGTGGTGTAATATGTGCTACCACTTCATAAATAAAATATTTATTATTTCTAATAGTAAAAATGCAAATTCCGGTTTCTTCTTTTTGGCACAGACCTCGAAAGTAGTTTAAGCAACTGTGTGCTTTGTTTTGTTGTGTATTTAACAAATTAGGATTAGAATGTTGAAACAGGTAGGGGATAGTTCGCTAGAGAGGCTCATTGCTTTGGGAGCCATCTGTCCTGACAATGGCCTTATTGACAAGTTCTCTCTTCACAGTTTCCCGTTGGCTTTGACAAAACATAACTTATGTGAAAATCTGTCTGTTTTTGTCATTAATATGAATCCACTGAAAACTGTTTTTTTTAATCACTGTGTACATGGAAAAAAATACTGTCTGCAAGTCAAAGAGGGTTTATTAAAAAATTAACCCATGAGTTATATATCAAGAGTAAAAGTAACTGTGATCTGGCACAAAGTGAGGTATTTCTGCATTCATGTATTAAGGCTTAAAGCCAAAGCAACACAATATGAGCTGGTTGTTCGAAGTCCGCAAGGTGGAATGTGAAAAAAGGCCACGGATAGTTAAACATGGGGGACCATTTCATTCCATGCTGTTTTTTTTATCCTTTGGTGTAGGAGGTGCTAATCTGTTCATTAGCACCGTTTTGCATGTAGTGCAGTTATTTATGATAAAACCACTGTTTTGTAGACAATATGTAAATCGTCTTTGCAAATGATATTAGAGTATGATTTTACTAAAAAAAAAAATAATAATAACCTATCAAATATGATTATAAGAGAGTACGTTTTATTTTTCTAGGTTAATAAATGTATATGTATTGTGTACCAATCAGTTTAGTACAAATAGAAATTCTAAACACTCTTTCACAGAGATGCTAAATAATGTAGCTGTAAATGTAATAGCTCTGGAACACAATTTAGTTGTGAAACGGATAAAAAACAAAACATTCTTTACACTCTTCCTAGTTGCAAATGGGTCTCAACTGCATTCAGGAAAGAATTGCTGATTAGAGATGTCGCGAACCGTCTACGAACTTCTCGCGAATGGTTCGCCACGGTTCGCCACGAGCTGTTCGCGGCGAACTCCGGTCAGCTGACACGTCCCGACCAATCTCCAGCAGACCGTCCCTCCCAGACCATCCAACTTCCTGGACAGCATCCATGTGGGTCTGGAGGGAGGGTCTGCTGGAGATTGGCCGGGATGTGTCAGCTGACCGGAGTTCGCCACGAACAGCTCGTGGCGAACCGTGGCGAACAGTTCGCGAGAAGTTCGCGGACGGTTCGCGACATCTCTAGTGAGCAGTTTATTGTGGGCAGTGCTGATACAGTGAGCAATTTAGTGTGGGCAGTGCTGATACAATAAGTGATTTATTGTGGGCAGTGCTGGCACAGTGAGCAGTTTATTGTGTGCAGTGCTGATACAGTGAGCAATTTATTGTGGCCAGTGCTGATACAGTAAGTGATTTATTGTGGGCAGTGCTGGCACAGTGAGCAGTTTATTGTGGGCAGTGCTGATACAGTAAGTAGTTTATTGTGGCCAGTGCTGATACAGTAAATGATTTATTGTGGGCAGTGCTGGCACAGTGAGCAGTTTATTGTGGGCAGTGCTGATACAGTAAGTAGTTTGTTGTGGCCAGTGCTGATACAGTAAATGATTTATTGTGGGCAGTGCTGGCACAGTGAGCAGTTTATTGTGTGCAGTGCTGATACAGTAAATTATTTATTGTGGGCAGTGCTGATACAGTGAGCAGTTTATTGTGGCCAGTGCTGATACAGTAAATTATTTATTGTGGGCAGTGCTGATACAGTGAGCAGTTTATTGTGGACAGTGCTGATGCAGTAAGTTGTTTATTGTGGGCAGTGCTGATACAGTGAGCAATGTATTGTGGGCGGTGCTGACACAGTGAGCAGTTTATTGTGGCAGTGCTGGCACAGTGAGCAGTTTATTGTGGCCAGTGCTAAAACAGTAAGTAGTTTATTGTGGGCAGTGCTGATGCAGTAAATGATTTATTGTGGGCATTGCTGGTACAGTGAGCAGTTTATTGTGGACAGTGCTGATACAGTAAGTTGTTTATTGTGGGCAGTGCTGATACAGTAAATGATTTATTGTGGGCAGTGCTGGCACAGTGAGCAGTTTATTGTGCACAGTGCTGATACAGTGAATGATTTATTGTGGGCAGTGCTGATACAGTGAGCAATGTATTGTGGGCAGTGCTGGCACAGTGAGCAGTTTGTGTGCAGTGCTGATACAGTGAGCAGTTTATTGTGGCCAGTGCTGATACAGTAAGTTTTTTATTGTGGGCAGCGCTGATACAGTAAGTGATTTATTGCGGGCAGTGCTGGCACAGTGAGCAGTTTATTGTGTGCAGTGCTGATACAGTGAGCAATTTATTGTGGCCAGTGCTGATACAGTAAGTGATTTATTGTGGGCAGTGCTGGCACAGTGAGCAGTTTATTGTGGGCAGTGCTGGTACAGTAAGTAGTTTATTGTGGGCAGTGCTGATACAGTAAATTATTTATTGTGGGCAGTGCTGGCACAGTGAGCAGTTTATTGTGTGCAGTGCTGATACAGTGAGCAGTTTATTGTGCCCAGTGCTGATACAGTGAGCAGTTTATTGTGGACAGTGCTGATACAGTGAGCAATGTATTGTGGGCAGTGCTGGCACAGTGAGCAGTTTATTGTGTGCAGTGCTGATACAGTGAGCAGTTTATTGTGGCCAGTGCTGATACAGTAAGTTGTTTATTGTGGGCAGTGCTGATACAGTAAGTGATTTATTGTGGGCAGTGCTGATACAGTAAATGATTTATTGTGGGCAGTGCTGGTACAGTGAGCAGTTTATTGTGTG